CTGCCTTTATTCCAGTATTAACTTTTGCCCATTTCATTTCATTTTGTTTCAGAATTGCTTTCAAACTACATTCCCTTTCAATTGCTGCATAACCAAAAACTGATGGGAATAATTACTTTAAAAAAAAAATAATTCTGCAGTGACAGTGATTACTATGTCCTCTTGAATTTCTCTTGATGTTGATAACCCTTCCCCTATTTTGACTGAGACCAATGGAGGTTCACTGACTGTGGAGGACACTGCTGCAGTTGTTCAATGTGTTGTGAGCTTGTTAATGCCTTCTTTGTTGCATTTCACTGTCCCTACATCAGGAATACATTTCCCTCTTTCTAAACCCAACCAAGAGGACAAGAATTCTGATCATTCTTTCCACCTCCCAGCTTTGCACTTGGCTCCTCTTTGCCTGTAAAGGACAGTGGTCCTCCTGCAAATCTCTTTGTGGATTTAATTTCTCAGGTATCTTCTTTATTTTCCATTTTGCATATATCTTCAGATTCTTCCTGTTCTTTACTGCTTGACTGTCATGCTGAGAATTATTTGTTTTTCCCTCCTTTCTCCAGACATACCTGTTGATACTGACATATTTTATTTCTGGATCAGCTTCATTCATACTCTCAAATGCATCCTCCTCCTCGATTCCAGAATTCCTTTGCTATGGCTTATGGCCATTCCTCCTTTCCATTCTTGGATTCCCAATCTTTGGAGTCCCTTTTACCTGGTTGGGGGCTAACCCCCTATCTTCAATAATTCTCTAGTTTTCAATTTTCCCATCTTCATCGTTTTCTTACCAATCTTCTTTGTTACCTATCCTTTCTCTTCATCCCCTATCTGAAGCCCTGCAGCATGATCCTGATAGTTTTTCTGGAGATCTATGGTCAGTGCATTTCAATACCATGGTCATGGTTTCATCTTGTTATCTATCCATGATTACATGGTTCCTTCTTTGTTGGAACCTCCTAGGATGTGGGTGTGTGTGCTTAACACCTTAGAGACTCAGGCCAGTGCTGCTCAACTAGTTCTCCATTTCCTCCTTGGTTTCTCGACTCTCCCAATCTCACAAATCCACTCAGTCCTTGATGCCATGAACCCAGAACTTTTCTCTTTCTTCCAGTTTCTCATCACTTTACTTTTTCTCACCATTTCTCTTCTAGTCAAGTTGGCTGTTGCATGTCACATTGGTGACTATTTTGCTTTGTACCTAGTTGGCTCAGAACCCCATGGGAATACATTTTTTTTCTGTTTGCAGACTTCTTGGCCCAATTTGCAGCTGACTGGCAGGACATTAAAGTTTTTGTATATGGCCTTTTTCTTCAATTCCGGCATGGCCTGGTGGTTAGAGTACTCAACTCGTGATCTGAGGGTAAAGGGTTTGATTTCCCATCACACTAAACATGCTTACCCTTTCAGCTATGGAATTATTATAATGTGATGGTCAATCCCACTATTCATTGGTAAAAAAGTAGCCCAAGAGTTGGTGGTGGGTGGTGTATCATTGCTAACTTAGGGATGGCTAGTGTAAATAGCCCTTGTGTAGTGTGAAATTCAAAATAAACTAAAAACAAACTCATAACTTCCAATCTCCTCCTTCTTTGTCTTCTTTTTGTATTTCTTTTCCTCCTCCTTCTGATCCTTAATGTCTTCTGCATTTCTGTGGTTGTGGTATCAGATCTTTTGAACAAGAGAGCCATTGAAAGGGTCCTTTACCCCTTCTTAGGATTTTTTTCATCAACTATTCTTCTCTCAACCACTATTTAATGGTTCCTTGGTTCATGTGAAGGGGGTTTCTTCCTCTTCATTGGTCATTTTCCTCTTGATTATGGATGACCAAGGCCAATCTCGTGGATGCTTTTCTACATAGTCTGATTGCCTTGCCCTCCTGACAATTTCTTTGATTCATTCTCTCACGTAAGGTGTTCCAGTTTTGAGTTCTCTTCAGCATCATCTTTGGCTCCTTATGTATTCATCTGAGTCATGAGGGCAGTCTTGGACTTTGTTTCCATTATTACATGGACTAGTGGCTCTTCCTTGCCTCTTCTCCAGAGGCCACTTTCTAGGCCCAATCATTTCTCCTCGAAGAAGCTGCTTCTCTGGGTTGGCTGGTCTAACCTTCAAATTGTTTCTCACTCTAACCCAGTACTTGGTCTACCTTGGAGTCTTCTTCAATTTTTAACTCGATTAGGCTCAGCCTTTCCCCATTTGTCTGTGAGACATGGAGCATCTAAACTCTTAACTTTCCTATACTTCCTGTATGAGAAATTCTCTTTTTTTGGGGACTCTCACATCTTGTCCCTTTAGGCCATGCTGAATGTGTCTTTTTCATTGGATTTTAACCCTATGGTTACAGGCACCCCTGTTCTGCACGTCACAAGATTTTACTTTGTTGCATTAAAAATTCAATTAAACAATCTTATGATCATTGTATGTCAATGAAATTAACATTAAAATTTACATTATAATTCAAAGTTTTATATTATCTAAGTTTAACTCATTTATTTAAAAAGAAATCTTAAAGAAAAATTTTAAACTTCAGCTAGATGCAAAAGTTCATAAAAGCTTAACTTCTGGACTTTGTAGCTTGAATACTTCTTGAAGTATGCTAATCTTCCATGTATAGGTAGAATCTAGGTTAATTGCCCTGTTTACACATTCTTGTTTTAAGCTTCTTAGGGCACATTCAGAGAAAATAATATAAATTTCTTTGAACTCTTGACAGATGCCATGACCACTTTCTACATATAAAAGTTGCAATTTCTCAGCCAATTATACTTAGTTGAGCTAGATGTTTATAACCAATAGAAATACCACATCTTAAAATAAAATCTCCCAATAGTTATTTTGAAATTGAAGAATTCTATAGAGAATTTTCAAATCTCTCTTAGCATTGTTGGTACTTTTGTCCTCACTAGCATTTTAGCATTGTTTCTCACCTATAAATATGTTTGTTAGATAGACAGTTAAATTGTATGTAGGTTTTAGTTTTATATTTTATTTAATAATGTGTTATTTATGTGTTAAAATGTATATTAGAAAGGTTTAATTTTTTTTTAAATGTAAATCAGACTGCCTCAGTTCATCAGGCTTAGTGTAGCCAGTGAATGTCCCAACATTCTGACGAAGGTTAAAGTGTGTCTGCCAAGGATACCCTGATATTGCCTGAGAATGCCCATTCACATGTGTTGTGATAAGTAATAATGCTAAAGGACAGGAAAGGAATATAAAACATGAAAAAAACTATATGGGAAAAAGTAAAAACTTATAATTAAGAATATAACAGAAAAAATATTTTTTAAGATTATTCAACGAAAAATTAAAAGGTATATAAATTTTTTGTATTTTTTATTTTGAACAATTCATTGCACAATACATTGATGATAATACTCAAAATATTCAGAGTCTGAGTGCAAATAACTACAATAAAAAATAACTTGTTAGTTAAAATATTAGATCATCAAGAAATTATTATTGCATTTTGGAACACTTTAATTAACCACCCCCCAAAAAACGTACATCACTTATAATAGGTCAACAAACTGCCTAAATGTCACATTAGTGTAGCCTATATAATGTGTATAGTTTAGTATACTCTAATCCCTTATAGTGATGGCACACGATGAGACACACATTCAGCATGTAATGCTGTTTGAATACAAGAAGGGAAACAATGCCTCTGTAGCCACAAAGCATATCAAAGAAGTTTATGGAAATGTTTTGAACATTCAAAAGTGTCAAAGATGGTTCAGCAAATTTCGTTCAGGTGACTTTAGTTTTAAAAACTGTGATGGCAGGGGCCGACATATTGGAATTGATATTGATGCTCTGAAGACACTTGTTGAGTCTAACCCAAGGCAACACAGTCGTGAAATGTCCCAGAAATTGCATGTCTCTCATGAAACAATACATAAACACCTAAAGAATATGGGAAAACTCCTTAAAGAAGGTGTGTTGGTGCCTCACAAACTCTCTGATGATCATTGTTTCCAACATGTGAAGGTTACTTCGTCTCTTCTGGCTTGTAATGCGTGCAAACCGTTTTTGGACAGAATTGTCACAGGTGATGAAAAGTGGATTCTCTATGCGAATATTAAATGCCAAAAACAATGGCTCAGTCTTAGACAAAAACCACTTCCGAACCAAAAACTTTGACTCCTTCCGCAGGAAGTGATGCTTTGCATTTGGTGGAACATCAAATAAGTAATTCATTTTGAATTCCTTAATGCACAGCGAACTGTCAATGCATAGATCTATAGTCAGGAACTGAAACATTTAAATCAAGCCCTTCATCAGAAATGCCCTTCACTCATCAGTTGGAAATGTGTTCTTCTTCTCCAGGACAATGCACGTCCACATGTGGCACAACACAATATCAAGCAATAATTAGCAATGATTCTTTCTAACTATATCTCTTTAACTAATTCTTTTTTTTCAAGATCAAGTAAGGATTTTTATTTACCGGTTATATGACATTGTTGCATCTCACGTGACTAGCTAATACCAGAAATATATGTAATCTTTCACGACATTAATATCTGTATGTAACTGCTAGGAAAAGCTTGGGTCAGTTTCATAATACATACATACAAACTCAAAATTAACGTGCTCTAGGTAGAAGTTGAACTAAATGATAGAAGGGAAAATTAATGAACAGTAAACAAAACCATAACAAAAAGTAGGATTTGCTATCTCACAATTTCCTAATCAGTTAGTACTGTTACAAAATATATTTTTATTGATAGAAGTAGTGTATGAATAACATCTATACATACATGTATTAAGCTTTTATATATGCCAGTGAAATATTCTATGGTTGACAGTCATATGCTCTTATTATGTCATGCTTATATCTTTAGCAGTGTAAGGGAGATTTCTCTAGCAGTAAAGTATGTAGTCACAAAATTAATGTTTTTTTATGGTGCATTATTAATCTGTTCTTTAATTAGGATTTTTAAGAGAGAATTTTCAATAGCTTGTTACAATTAGACTGTGTTTGATAATGCTTTAAGAACTCTTGAATCCCATGGAAAGTGAAGCTTTGCTGGAGCAAGGGCCTGTAAAGTTTGGTTCCAGCTGGGAATCAAGGAACATTCCTAATGATGAGCTGAACTTCAAGAACATTGCCAACACAGAAGAGCCTGCTGGGGAACCACCAAAAGACAGGTAAGAGTGGTTTCATCTGCATGTGGAGGAAGATATCTAGTCATTCTGGTTGTATGTTTCCTTGCATTAGATGAGTTGCATAATACATTGTAGGAATATCATACTTCAGAATTCATAGAGGTTTGAAATGTAAAGCTTTGATTTTCTGTAACTTTGGATTGAACTAAGCTATTGAATTAACCACCATTTCATGATAAACTACTAGGATCATCTTCAAAGGTGTCAAGTGCTGTTAGTCAAATATATAATAAAAGCTTATCAGTGTACAAAAACCTGTTTGAAATGTTAAGTTGTTGACAGTGTTTCTGATCAGTATATTGGACTGGAAGTTTTTCAAGAAGGAACCAAAGCCACGGTGAAGAATTTGATCAATAAAAAACTTTTGATATAATATTCACATATATTTTGTAAACTACAGATTATCCACATTTGATATATAAAGTAGCCAGTTTTCCATTTTATAACTTTATTAGTATAACTATTAAGTAGGGAACATCATATATACCCAGCTTGGTGCTGTATGGTTTATTTCTCTAACTTACATGTAGAAACCTTATTATTGTAGTAAGAATACAAGACTTGAAAAAACAAGAACATACCTGTGGAGCTAAACACATCAACATTAAATTCATTACATGGTTGCCAAGTTATGATTTATTCATTCTGGAATAATGGGAATATTTAAAGTACAGGGATCTAAAGTTTACATTAATTTCAATATATTTGAAACTAAAGGATCATTGTGTGCTGTTGTAGAGGTAAATATTAATCTGAGAGATAGGTCTGGGTGTGGTCAAATATATGGGCAGTTAGTAAGTTTTACTACCTTGCAGTTTGTTTGTCATTGAAAACTATATTGGGTTTTTTAATGTCAAGGTAAATGTGAAAAGCAAAAGTGAATGATCACATATTTTTTCCTTTCTCTGTTCCCTGCTTTATATATTCTTTCCTTTGTCTGCTCCTATTGTCTTCTCTCTTCTTTTTCATATGCTCATTTGTCTTCTGTTTCCTTTGTCTGTTCCCTCCTTTTTCTGTTTCTCTTTTACCTGTTATTTTTTTGTCTATTCTATCCTTTGCTCTATTTTATTTATTGGAACACTAAAACAATATGAAATACATGTGGTTGAAGGTGAGGAGAGATTTTTGTTTATACAGCATCTTTATTTTTTAACTCTGCCATTTCAAAAGCTGTGATTGAAGCTGTCCAGTTTTACATCTAGATCTAACCCTGTTGGGTTTCAAGCATTCAATGATGTATCATTACTAAACTGAAACTTCACTAAACAAGAAATCCAACACCTAAAGCCAGGTGTAACTTCTGTGAGGTTACTGCTTATGTAGATGAGGGTATGGGTGTGATATTGTTTACCTGGATTTTCAGAAAGCATTTGATAAGATGCCATGTTAAAGTATTGTTAAAAAGTGATTTCTGTAGGTGTGTGGTATAAGTTGGCTCATTGGATAGCAAATTGGCTAGATGGAAGAAAGCAGAGTTTTGTTATAAATGGAACACAGTCAAAGTGGATTAATGTCACAAGTGGGGTACCTCAAGGCTCAGTGTTAAGACTTTTGCTCTTTTTGGTTTACATAAATAGGGAAAGAAAATTGGAATTTTAACGGAAAGCAGGGATCATTGGTTATTCGTAGAATTGTGATAAGAAATATCCAAAACAAAATGTATGCTGCAGTATCACTTTACTTGTTTGTGTATTTTTTATTGCAGCATTTATTTTGTTTTGGATACTCCTTATAGCAACTTCACACATAACCAACGATTCCTACTTTTTGTTAAAATTTTATTTTATTTTCCTGTGTATATGTTCAGTTTTTATATGTCCTTGGAATGGACACAACATCTATAAACTTTCAGTATAGCCATATCCCTGATAGCTATAACTTTTACAAGAATTAAAACCACAATCACAAATTTATAATTTTTAATCCTTACTTTGACCTACAGATAAATGTATAAAGCTGCCAAAGTAGGGATTAAATTTGATAAATTTGTGGTTGTGGTTTGAATTCTTGTTTTCATTTCTTTTTGTTGCAAGATCCCTACTTTATTTTAAAATTCATAATTTTTAAAACTCTTGTTTCTTTACTTCTTATCTTATACCTGTATAAAATATATACTTTAGCTTTAGAAACTGTTACGTGTCTATCCATCAACATGTATCACCATCTGTTGGGTTGAAAAGATATTTAACTACTATTAAGTACTACCATACTTAAAATAAATGACATAGATGAAGGAGTGGTCAACAGATTGTTTAACTTTGCTAATAACATTAAAGCTTTGTTGGCTGTGGGGAGAATGCTACTGCTTTACAAAAGGAATTAGATTATTTGGTGAGTTGAGTGAATAAATGGCAGATGGCTTTTAATCATAATAAATGCAAGGTAATGCATGTGGGATATCACAATTTGAAATATGAGTATAATTTTTATAGAAATAACAGTGTTATGGAAGAAAAAGGATCTTGGTGTTCTGATTGATCAGACTTTTAAGCCATCCAAGCAATGTGCTGTTGCCAGTGGCTGGGCAAATAGGATCTTAGGTTGTATCTACTGAAATATTTAATATAATTCTAAAGACATTGTATTGGTTAAGCCACATCTTGACTAATGTTTTCAGTCTTGGGATTCTTACCTCAGAAATTATATTGAATTGTCGAAAAGGGTTAAGAGTAGGGCTACAAGAATGATACCTGGGATGAAAAGGTTGTCATACAAGGGTAGGTTAAGATTTCTGAACCTTTCTCATGACAAAAAAAAAGTTAAAAAAGATCTGATTGAGGTGTTTAAGGTTGTTAAGGGAATTAATGGGTGGAAGCATCATCTTATTTTCTCATATTTAATGGTGAGAAACGAGGACACAAATAAAAATATTTAGCTGAGTAGGAGTCATTTTTAGCCATGACAGCTTTCTTTTTCTAACAGGGTGGTTGGCTTCTAAAATGGTTTGCCTTCAAATGTGGTGAATGCAGTTAAATTAATGGAATTTAAGGGAAGACTTGATAAATGTTTGAATGATAAGGGTTGGCTTTGAGGTTTTCTCTTTTTTTTCCTTTTTTTAAGGATTTGGTTTAATTTAGTGGATAGGATAGCCCAGATGAAACAAAAGGTCCCTGTTGTTCTTTAATGTTATGTTATGTACATTATAACATTCCTTACTACCTACCTTGCTTTACTGAACATTACAGTTCCAGGTTGAACATGGATTTTGTTTTATTTCATAGAGAAGCTTATCCAACTGTATCAGACTGATCATTAGTCACTAGGTCTACCTTTAATAGCGACTGTATCAGACTGATCATTAGTCACCAGGTCCACCTTTAATAGCAACTGTATCAGACTTATTATTAGTCACTAGGTCTTCCTTTAATAGCGACTGTATCAGACTGATCATTAGTTACTAGGCACACCTTTAATAGCGACTGTATCAGACTTATTATTAGTCACTAGGTCTACCTTTAATAGCGACTGTATCAGACTTATTATTAGTCACTAGGTCTACCTTTAACAGCGACTGTATCAGACTTATTATTAGTCACTAGGTCTACCTTTAACAGCGACTGTATCAGACTGA